ATTAAACTAGCTAAAGGCTTAATAGTAAGTAAGTATCTTTATTAATATTAAAGCTATAGTATTAAACTAGTTTAAGTTTTTATTAATCTTTAAAACTTTTTATTAATAAAAGTACTTTTTAGCTATATTAATTAGTATTATTATATTTAAATATCTTTACTAGTAGTAAAGTAAATATACTAAACTAGCTAGATACTTTATTATAAATAGATATTTCTATTAGTAATAAGGCTAAGATATTTTATTATATAAGTATAATATATAGTTACTATAGTTAAAAAGAACTTATAAAAGAAAAATTTAAATTTTACTTTCTTTTCTAGTATTTATTTATATAACTATTAAATCTATAAATTAAATATAAAATAAGGTTAATTATAAATAGTTATTAACTTAGTAGTAGAATTATATATAGGTTAATTAAAAATAATTATTAGCTTAGTTATTATATAGTTCTTTTATTACTAATATAAGGTAGCTTAGGTTTATTTTTTTTATTTACTTATTAATACTTATTTTATATTTTTAAAAGCTACTTAGTATTATTTTATAACTTTTTACTATTTAATTAAATAGATATATTACTAGTTAAAAAGTTTTACTTTAATCTTATTATAGCTAGCTTATAATATAAGTTAACTTTATTAAAATATTTAAATAATTAAATACTAGAATACTTTATATTTAAATTTTATACTAATATAATACTAGGAATATAAAGAACTAAAAATAGTTATTAGTAAAGTTTTAAAAAGATTAATAGCTATAATATATCTTAGTACTATACTAGTACTTTATATAAAGAAATAGTTATTAGGACTTATAACTATTATAATAAGTAGTAAGCTAAGAAGCTGCTTTTAATTCTTAGAGTTATATATATTAAGTTAGATAGTCTTTTTACTGTATTTATACTTCTAATTAACTCTTAGCAGATCTGAAAGTATTAGTAAAGTTACCTAAATAACCTTAGCTCTATAAGCTGCTAAGGTTTTGCTATATAACAGAGCAGTAATTACTTAACTTATCTTAACAACTCAAAGACCCTGTAGGTACTTAAGATTCCCTGGCTGCATCCTACTTAGCATGCTAGTAGGAGATGACTTGGATAGCTACTTGAGGCTAATAGGAAAGTTGCTAATAGCCCTTGACTAAGGGAGCTTATCCCACTGACGATATAAGCGCAGAGCATAAATTGCGACTTCGCCCTCTGCTGTTCCACAGTTCTCCAAGTCAATCCTCGCCCAATCCGCAGTCTTCTCAGACACCTGCTGTCCAGTCGCACCCGATTTCAAGCTAAGCAAGTCAAGGGTTCCTTAAACATAGTTTAGGAACCCGTCATGGATCCGAACGTAGCCATCTGAGGTCTTATGCAATCCACCGATAGTGCCCATTGCTAGGGGAGCAAGCTCGTCGGAAACCGTATACAGTCTTTCGTATTTGTACTCCACGACTGCATGTTCAAGCGGCACCGTGACTGTAGGAACGGGGGTTTTGTTCCGTAGTGCATAAACCTGAGCAGCTGCCAGTGCAGATAGACCGATAGAGGCTTGTCCGAGGATTCCGATTTTGAACGACGATGGAAGAGCCGGACCTTCTTCGCCAGGAAGCCTTATTCTCAAATCGAGCTATTTTCACCGAATAGAGCATACCGAAGAGGATTTCAAGAGCCTTATTTTTCTAACTAATTGAGGGGAAAGATGCGCCGTTTTGATCACATCACGCGGGGTATCCACGTGATATAAGCTCGGCCAATCAGCGCACCGCATTTGCTGACACTTATAGCTGTCAAAGCGGTTTCGGGCAGATCAAGACCTGTCCAGACCTCCTTCAAGACATCAATTGAAGAGTGTTTTGTTCGGTCAATGCTTTGCGAGGCCTTGTCTTCATCGGGTAGTTGCATGTTGCTCAATCCTAAGGCTTGCTCCGGTGTCAGCATGATAACTGGATGTAGCGGGGTAATCAACCCGCTCACGGACTGAAACGACTCGAAATCAATAATAACAACTGAACGTATGTCTAGAACGCCCAGTGGCTTGACTGAACGAAGGCCGAAGGGTTGATGGAGGAACTTGTCGCTTGCGCCCTTAACCAGCGTCTCCTCAATCCGATAGCCGAGTAGCCAATCATGTTGGTGTATCACTGCAGTAATGTCAATTCATCGAGATTTCATTCAGCACTTCTCATGAAATCGCCAAAAAAGAACACGAACACCGTTAGTAAGTTAGTCAATGTAAACTATTGGGCAAAATGGCTGGCTGAAAATATGCATATATTTTGAGTTATCTAGCCAGCCTGTTTTAGCGGTGTATAGCAGCTGACAGGGTCCTATTAAAACGTTGGGCTTGGCATTCACTTAATCTGAACATGAGTCCAGACCCAAATTCACAAGATTTGGTCCTAAAAAATTGGTGCCATTGCATACTAAATGTAAGGCAGATGAGAAAGTGGCTGGCTGACAATGTCTATGCATTTTCAGAAACTTAGCCAGCCTATTAGAGCGCTGGGCTTGGCAGTCACTAACCCTGAAGATGGCCACAGACCCAAATTTACAAGACAATGTCCCGAACTACTGGTACCGTGACATACTAAAGAGCGCTGGAGTGATTCCGGTTCGTTGGGATATAATATATTGGCAGAAAAGGTAAAAGTGGCTGACACAAATGAGGCCATTATTTGATCTGGACAACAACTCTTGCTTTAACTAAGATAAGACACATTGAGAGTGGAATCAATGGCTCCCTACTCAATCGCGTAGCTTTCAGTGGATCAAGCCAACATGGAGGCCTCACCGCTTGTTGAGGTCACGGGTCGTTGCACTGGGGTATTGTCTATTTGCCAATTTCGCAAATTACAGATAGCCAAATACCAGATATCGAGCTATGAGTAAACAACTGAGTTTTTAGAATGTTTCTTATAGACGTTTAGAGGTCCATGTTATGATTGATACCCACGTGTTCTAATTTACATGAGGAAGGTGATGTACTAAAGGCTATGCCTTGAATAACCAGAAAGGGTTAAACCTCAGGATCTAGAACCTTACTTAGTGTATGTGGCTTGTTGGTCCGAACGCCAGTTCTCTACAACAAAACTAGACTATGATCATTTAGAGATGCTGTGTTGGCGTAGAAACATGAATCTGGCCTATCTATAAAAGGTTGCAGTGTGTCCTCACTAAATTAAAGAAACAGACACAAAACACCTTCTCATCTTATTAACCACCAACAATCTCGAACACCAACATCACCAAAATGCAGATCAAGTCCTTCCTCGTTGCCTGTACTCTGTACATATCATTTGGCATGGCGACTCCCGTTGAAAAGAGAGCCTGTGCTTGCTACTGCCCAGCCAACGCTACCTTGCTAGGCGGCATAAACGCCAGCTGTCCTTCAACCAACCCATGTTGCAAGGCAACCTGTCGGTCTAAGAAGGGCGTCCCTGGAGGGTCAGGCTCTCCATATCCAGCCACATATAAATGTTAAGATTCCATCTGCCTGAAGTAAGTTTCACCCTTCTGTAAATCTAGACAAAACACCAATAACTAATACGACACAGTAGCTTTCGACAATGGTTACAAGGACAAGTCAACCTTGAGAGACATGCTTCACTTGCCACACCGAACCACTACAATAATAAGTAGAGGCTTCGAGGACCCTGATTCACAAAAACGTGTTATGGTTGTACGTGGCTTCGGAGCCCATTATTGGCTCTAATAGGAATGTTGGGAACTGGGTGGCTATTCTGTAACAACGAACACTGTCTCTCTAGTCCTAAGTCTATTAAGTCTCTTTAGTTCCATTATAGTAGATATACTATTCACTGTTGAGATCTGTGGCTGAAACTTTACATTCACTCTTGCCTGACTGAGCAAACCTCGAACCAAAGGAATAAACAGCTATCGATTTAGCAACTTCAGAAGCAGCTAAGAGCAAGCATCTAGAGCCTCAGTGACTTAACGTGACTCGCTGGTATGTAAGCTCCAGTTTTAGCAATACCTGAAGCGACTACACCGAGATCCCTTAAGCTCTTGTGACCCAATATACCATTCAGGGTTCACTGATCTATATGAGACAGGACCAGGAAAACCCTCCTGCCAATTTCCGGTCTCTGACGGTGAATTTCCCGCTGCGATAAACAAATTTGAATGAATTTAGTCTTGAATACCACGAGCAACGTAAGACAGCGGGTTCCGGGGTAGCCTTAGAGAGAAGCAAGTCTTTCGACTCTTGATGTCTGGTCCATGTATAAACACTTTGAAGAGCAACTGGAGACTTGGACAACCCTGTTCTCAGAGGCAGGAGCTTTCAGTGCTCATTCTATTTAAGACTAATGTTGCTCGTTGAAGGACCTAGTCTATATAATATAATATATATTTGTATACTATGCCTGTTTAGAAAGCTGACTGAGAACGGGATCATAAACTCTTAGGTAGAGAAGACCTTCTTTGCCCTTTGACTCTTTCTGAGTGCTATTGAAGTAGCATTATCTATAAGGATAGCTATTGCACCTTGCTCTAAACATGCTAGGACTGAGTAAATGCGCCTAGACCCTGCATCCGTGCTATTGATAAAACCTGGTCTTGTCCTGTAATAACAGTATGCTTTGAGGAGAAGAGAAAGCTTAGGTAAACCTACCCTAAGCTTAAGGGACTCTTTTCTGAGTTTATTTTAATACCCTCCTTTTCCTACTGTGTCTCCACTTTAACTCGGAACACCTCCACACGCGGAAAGTGGGCAGGGCATCTTGTCTAAGCCTCCTTACCAATTTCGGATCGCCACCAGGTTTCGACTCAATCAATTACTTCATTCTAATTGATTTCTCTGCAGAAAATTCTTGGATATGGAATAATCAACGCGTGGCAGATTCCGGGCTCGGACCGTTGGTGACGAGGCCGCAGTCGTCGAAGGAGTATATAACCATAAACGATTGCGCCATGTCAAGTAGCACTTCATATTGAGCATCACTTTCTCATACTTCCCACTCTCATTAGAATACTTACCATGATGCGACAATCTTTCGGAGCCATTATGGCTTTGCTAGCCTCGGGCTCCCTTGCGTCCTCTCTCTCGGAACTATGTACTGTCTCGAACCTGAAAGCTGCGCTGCCCTCCAATGGAACCCTCCTGGGGATTGATATGATCCTATCTACCATCACGGTGTCCGCGGCGGTCTACAACGCCAGTGCCAGCATGGGATGCGGCCCAATGAAGCGTGATACCGATACTTAAAACTACTGTAACGTCACTGTCGCGTGTACCCACGGCAGCAAGGGTGACACAGTCAACCTCAAATATGCCTTCCCCGATCCCGAAGACTTCAAGAGCCGGTTCTATGTTGCAGGCGGAGGTGGCTACTCTCTCAACACCGATACCACTGGCGGCCTCAAGTACGGAGCTGCCGCAGGAGCCACTGATGGCGGATACGATGCCTTCAACTACAGTTTCGATGAGCAATTCCTTCTCGGCAACGGTTCCGTCAACTGGGATGCGATATACATGTTCTCTTACCAAGCTCTCAGAGAGATGACCTAGATTGGAAAGCACATCTCCAAGAATCTATACGATATGTCAAAGTCTAGCAAGGTCTATACCTATTACGAGGGCTACTCGGATGGTGGGCGAGAGGGAATGAGCTAGGTTTAGCAACGGGGCGAAGAGTATGATAGTGTTATCGCTGGAGCTCCTGTATTCCGCTTTGCGCAGCAATAAATCCTATATGTCTGCCCTGCTGCTGTTAAGTATAAACTTAACTATTATCCCCCTCCTTGTGAGCTTAAGAAGATCGTTAACGTTACTATTGAAGCCTGTGACGATCTCGATGAAAGGAAAGATGGCGTTATCTCCCGAACAAATCTTTGCAAAATCCACTTCAACACCAAGTCGCTCACCAGCAAAGAGTACTACTGCGCAGCTAAGACTAGTTCTTCACTTAGCTTTAGGTTCAGCAAGAGACAGGCTCCCGGCAGCCAGACGAGCAATGCACCAGAACAGCATGGTACGATTACTGCTAAGGGTGTTGCTATTGCTCAAGCTATCTACAATAGTGTTTTCAACAGCAAGGATGAAAGAGCGTATCTATCTTAGCAGATTAGCTCAGAGCTATCTGATGGTGAGCCAACTTACGATAACACTACCAACAAGTGGACTCTAAACATCCCTTCTACTAGTAGCATGTATATTGCAAAGTTTATTGAGATTCTTGACCTCGCTAACGTCGATAACCTCAACAATGTCACGTATCACACTCTAGTTGACTGGATAAAGAGTGGTATAGTCCGCTACTATGACAGTCTGCAAACCACTCATCCCGATCTCACAACCTTCAAGGAAGCCGGCGGCAAGCTCCTCCACTACCACTGCGAATCCGATCCTAGCATCCCAGCCGGCTCTTCCGTTCACTACTGGCAGTCTGTCCGATCCATCATGTATCCAAAACTGTCTGATAAGAACCAGTTCTATCTCGTGCCTGAGCAGCTCACTGTGGCACGAACTCTCTTCAGCCAGGTCCTTATCCTCAGAACAACATAAACATTATGATCGACTGGGTTGGAAATGGTAAGCAGCCGTCGAAACTTAATGCTACTATCTCTTCAGGCGATTATAAGGTAGAGACGCAGATGTTGTGTCAGTAGCCTAAGCGACCTCTTTGGAAGAACGACAAGAGCTTTGAGTGTGTCATTAACAAGAAGTCAATCGAGAGTTAGACATACAGCTTCAATGCTTTCAAGATTCATATATATTAATACCCTTTGGTTTTAGACAGGTAGATGCTCTCGAGCATAGATAGAGAGGTTGTTAGTATATCAGTGTATAGCTGTTAGGATAGTACATCTACGCAGACAATAACAAGAACTTACTATTTCTTACCATTATGCCAAACCATTCCAAAATCGCCATTCCCATAATAGCCAGCCTGCGGCATAGTAATAGTGAAGAGTGCTAATAATAAAGTCACAACCAATAGAGTAATGGCTTCTCCCTTAGCCAATTCGGGAAGCCAAGCTAGCGGATGTTCAGCTATAGACAAACTCACTGAGCCAGTCGCCTCTTACTCCTTCACTAAAATGCCGAGGCTAAAACAAACCAGCCCCCTCGTGTTTTCACTCCACAATTTTCACTCTTAATTCCTCAATTCCTGCACCTCAACAGATTCAGAAATAGGCGACCCCTATTATATTTACTGCTATCTCGGGTTATATCCTACTTACAAAGCTACTAATATTAGCTAGTGCAGACCCTGGGTGGAAGGATAATAACTTTAAGACAGCGCTTCACCTCGCGGTTAACAATAACTATGAAATTGTTGTAAAGCATCTCCTGGAAAATAGGGTTGATATCGAGGTGTAAGATGCGTACCTTTCTACACCCCTTTTAAGAGCTGCAGAAATAGGCCATGAGGATATCTTGAAGCTCCTGTTGGATAGGGGGGCTAATATCGAGGTTAAAGACTGAAACAGTTGGACGCCATTATTCTGGGCTACATACGAAGGTCATGGGTCAGCAGCAAAACTTCTAATTGATGCTGGTGCTACTCTTGTATTAAAGAATGACTTGTGGAACTGGACACCGTTGAGGATGGCTATAAGACAGCAGAATTAGAGCATCATAAGTCTACTGGTAGAGGAAGGGGCTCAGAGAAGCTAGTGGCATTACCCGCTTTAGTCTAGTGGCTATAACAAGGGAAAACGACGTCTAGAGCTCTTTGTATTTAATTATTGATATGTCTTAAAGTCCCTTCCCAAGCTCGATGTAGTTTGACTCTCAAGCAGAGGTAGTTAGAAGACTACCGTTTAGGAAGAAATCTTAATCTCGGTATTGGGATAAAGCTTTAGCCTTTCCAAGTAACTATCGACACGTTTCCGCCATCGGAGTCAAGGGAAAATTCCCCTCATTACCCCAGGGTATAGGTTATGCGGGGTTTGCAGGTCTGGGTCGTGCTAGTGCTACTCTAACTGACTTTAGCGTTTCGCCTAACCACACGCATGACTTGGTGCAACCGTGCTTTACTCAGAATGCTGACACTAATGGAAAAATCTGGAGAATATGGGGTAAATCTTTACGCGCGGCAATTCAGAGTTTTCTCCCTGATTCATCTGCATATATATCGGCTTCCCCAGTCCATGGTTTCCCCAGATTCATCAGACAACAACCCCAGGATTCAATTGACCCTTGTGCTGATCAAGGCACCTGTTCTCAACCATGGGTCTCTCCATCAACAACATCTTTGCTGTCAATGAGGACCGGCCCACTCCCAAGGCTGTGTACAATTGGCGCGTCTACACATGTGCTGCCATCGCCTCTTTCGCATCATGCATGATCGGCTATGACTCTGCCTTCATTGGCACCACCATCGCCCTTCCTTCTTTCACCGAGGAGTTTGACTTTGCCTCCTACGAGCCCGATCAACTCGCTCTTCTCAAAGCCAACATCGTCTCGGTCTATCAAGCCGGCGCGTTCTTCGGTAGTCTCTTCGCCTATATTACCTCGTATTTCATCGGTCGACGTTATTCCCTTATCGCTTTCAGCTTTGTCTTTATGATCGGAGCTGGCATGATGCTTGGCGCCAATGCTGAGCGTGGCTTGGGACTCATCATCGGTGGTCGTGTTCTTGCTGGAGTAGGCGTTGGCGCTTGTTCCAATATGGTTCCCATCTACTGCTCTGAGCTCTCCCCACCTGCTATTCGTGGTCGCCTTGTTGGTATCTACGAATTGGGATGGCAGATCGGCGGCCTTGTCGGCTTCTGGATCAACTATGGACTGGCTGAGACCATGGCCCCCAGCCACAAGCAGTGGATCATCCCTTTTGCTGTCCAACTTATCCCCGCAGGCATGCTGCTTTTCGGTGCCTTCTGGATTAAGGAATCTCCTCGATGGCTCTTCTCCAAGGGTCGACGTGAGGAAGCCATGAAGAATCTGTGCTGGTTGAGACAGCTTTCTCCCGAAGACCTTTATATCGTTGAAGAAGTCAGCTACATGGACCAGGAGTTAGACCGCTATAACCGAGAAGTCGGTCCCGGCTTTTGGAAGCCTTTCAGTGCACTCAAGAGCCGACAGATTCAGTGGCGTTTCTTCCTGGGTGGCATGATGTTCCTCTGGCAGAACGGGTCTGGCATCAACGCTATCAACTATTACAGTCCTACTGTCTTTAAGAGTATTGGAATCCAGGGCACCAACACCGGTTTCCTTACTACCGGTATCTTTGGCGTGGTCAAGACAGCTGTCACTATCATCTTCATTCTGTTCTTGATTGAGACTGTCGGGCGCAGGAAGCTGTTAATCATTGGTTCCGTTGGTGGTTCTCTTTGCATGTGGTTCATCGGAGCTTACATCAAGGTCGCCAACCCAGCTGGTAAGGTGGCTGCTGCTGAGGCCGCTGGAGCTGCCGCCCCTTCAATGTCAGGCGGTGGTATTGCTGCTGTTTTCTTCTTCTATCTTTGGACTGTCTTTTACTCGCCCACATGGAACCCGATTCCTTGGGTTCTCAACTCTGAGATGTTCGACGAGAAGTCTAGGTACGTTACTAACATATCTTTACGTTGACACATGGCTAGGTTACTAACATCAAGCAGATCCCTCGGTCAAGCTTCCGCCGCAGCCAACAACTGGTTCTGGAATTTCATCGTCTCTCGATTCACCCCTCAGATGTTCATCAAGATGGGCTACAGTGTCTATTTCTTCTTCGCTTCCCTTATGATCCTCTCCGCCACCTTTGTCTTCTTCTTCATCCCTGAGACCAAGGGTCTGCCGCTTGACACCATGAACCGTCTATTCGAGATCAAGCCGGTATGGAAGGCCCACGGACAGCTTTCTGAGGAGTTGAGGCTGCAAGAGGATGAGTTCAGACGTAATGCTGAGGGTAGCAACATCAGTGCCGAGAAGGCCCAAGCCCTCGCTGATGAGCGTGAGGATGTCTAGAGTAGAAGCATGGAAGGCATATCTTGATAGTAGATTTCCAATATTGTATTTAGTCTAGAGGGAAATACTCGGCTACTAATCAGCGTCTTACATAGTTTAGAAAAACAGATGGATCAATATAGATTTCCTTCTAGTTGCGGATCAAAGCCCTTACATGAACAGTAGCTTAAACGTAACTAGCCACAAGTCCCAAGAGAAGCTCATTCCAATTCAGGTCCACACCCTGTACTATACTACAATTTTATGTAGAGTTTAGCTCAGAATTGAAATAGCAGTGTTGTCAGGCTGCAGAACAGGGTACTCAATGGTTCCCTTGGTCTGAATAGCCGAGACGTACCCTAGCATCAGGGAAGCATCCTTGAGACAACTGTAGAGAAGCCCAGCTGCATCCTTGATCTCCACGGCCTTGAATTCCTTCCTCTCAGTAATAGGTCAATCCTTATTTATATTAACAAAGACTTAAGGTACGTAATCAAGTCATCGATCTTTGACCTTGAAGCCGAGGAGCTTGGGGAGCTAAGCAACCGATAGCCAATCCTTTCACTTAGCATCCTTAGTAACGATAGGCAACGCAGGAATGAGATGTTTCTCGGTGTAGCTATGGAGAGTTTCGAGATCCCGGGGGAGAGATAGAAACCAGCATCTTTTAACGCAATTTTCCATACAGGGTTGTATTGGAGGCTGCAACTCATAATTCCCGCACGAAGTAGGTCAATAGCAGATGTTATTACATGCTGTGATACTGCTTCCGAATTTTCAATATCTGGACCTGAAGCTACGGCAGCAGACTGCGCGTGGCCTCAAATATGACTAGTTTGCAAGCTGTGGACAACTAGTCAAAGTACTCTACGATACTGCCTTATGCACGTCTTAGTTGAGACATATTAGGCGTTATCAATTATGCAATTAGTAGCTTTACAATCCTTTTACCCCTATTTTCCAAAGCTATTGCAAAAGCCTTAGTAAGGTACTAAAGTAGTAATATAGTATTATTACTAAGATTAAGAACTAGCTTTATTAGCTATATTACCTTATTATTCTTAAGTATAATATATACTATTAAAGTAAGTATATTACCCCTTATCCTTACTAGGTAAATTAATACTAATATTACAATCTATAAGTAGTTTTATAATTTCTATATAATATATAGATAAGGTAGCTTATAAAGCTTTACTTACCCTTTATGTATTATTTCTAGTACTATTAGTAAATAAAGTCTTTATTACTAACTTTTATTTACTTTTTAAAGCTAATTTAAGAGTATTACTATACTTACTACTACTAATAGTAATATTAGTACTATTCTTATTAATTGTAACGGTTGTGATTCCCAAGGAATAAACTAGTCTATACTAGGTTTATATTAGCAGATGTATAGGGTATAGATACTAAGTATTACAAAGTGTTATATCTCTTAATAGTAAATAAAGCGTATTAGGTATATTTAGGTAAAGAAGTCTTATTAATAGCTAGTAAGCTAAGTATTCTATCTAGTGCTAAGTAAATATATATATATATAATAGTCTTACTAGTAGGATTATAAGCCTTAAGAGAAGGCTTACAATTACTTAGGTAAGCTAGTAAGTAAGTTTATAACTAGTATAGTAAGCTTAGGTAAGGCTTACGTAGGTATAAGTAAGCTAAGCTCTAATTAGTAAAAAATGTAGGGTATATGTAATATAACTGCAGAGGATTGTAATATAATCTCTTCCCTTCTGTAGTCTTATTCTTAAGACCTATATAACTTATCTTCCTAGCTATTTTTCTTATGTAAGTCTAACTTAATCCTATATTTATTATATTAAAGTATTCTAATAAACAAAAAGTAGATTCCTTTAATACTATTCTATTATCTTTTACTAAGAAGTATTGCAAAGCTACTAAAGGTATTATATAGTTTAGATTTAAAGTTATACCTTATTCTTACTATAGTAAGCATAGTATAGCTTATAAAATAATTATAGGAAAGAAAAAGTATAGTTTATATATTTCTTTTAGTTATTCTTATAATATAATTAGTATACCTTTAAATTCTTGTAAGTTCTTGTAGTTTTTCCTGGTTTCTAGTGTTAATTTTTAATAGTTATATGTATTATAGATAAAGTAAAATATCTAGAAGAGCAAGAGGTAGTAGCTAAAGAATTACTATCTTCTTATTGTAAGGCGCTTTGTATTACGTAGTGTAAATTAGATAAGTCTTTTTCTTAACTAGAGATTTATTATAAGCAAAAGAAAGAGTTAGTATTCTGCAGAGTTAAAATAACTTATTATAGCCTAGATTTATTAGATAAACTTAAGGAGGCTAAGAAGGCTAAGTCTTTTAAGGAGTAGTTAGTAGTTAAGGATATTAACTTATTAGTATACTTAAATATACTTAATTTTAGTTTCTTTAATTTTTTTAGTATTAATAGAAGTTCTTTAGGAGTTGTTAAGTAGTAATAAGGTTCTTTAGTAGTTCTTATGTATTTTTGTTTTCTAGGTAGTCTTTCTATTTTACTAAATATATTATCTACTTATTTTCCTTTTTTATATCTTTAATTACTTTTACTTTGTAGAGTTCTAGTTCCTTAATTTCCTTAGGTTTATTTCTGATTTTAACCTGTATTATATTAGCTACTAATTTAAGTAGGGATATATAAAAGATTAGATAAAGCCTAACTTTTAGTAGTAAGTCTAGTTTATAGTTATTTTCTAAGATCTTCTTAATAATTTTGTAAAGTCTAATGTATTTATAGTTTAGTTTATATAAAGGTTGTTTTATTTATATATTTTTTATAAATAAGTAGACTATCTTTCCCTTCCTAAAGGTTAGTTTTTTAATCCTTTTTATATTATAGTATTTTTTTATTCTTTTTTTAATAAATTTAAGTTCTATCTTTATTTCTTTATATAGATTTTTAAGTTCTTCTACCTTAAGTATTGCAGTAGGGTTAATTATCTATACTTTATATTTATTATAATAGGTATCTAGTATAAATCTAAAGTTAATATAAGCTAGTATTAACTTTGTACTTTTATTATAGGTAGTATTATAAGCTAGTTATATAATAGGTAGCTTTTTAACCTAATTATTTTATCTGTAATTAATATAGTATTGTAAGTATTATTCCAGTACTTGGTTTATTTGCTTAGTTTGTTTATCTATTTAGGGTCTAAAGGCTATTAAAAGCTAGTAATTAAGTCCTAGGTATAATATAAGGGCTTACTAGAACTTAGCTGTAAAGGTTAGTTCTCTATCTAATAGGATCTTATTTAGTAGTCTGTGTATACTAATAATATATTAGTAAAAAACATAGGAAAGTTCTTCTGCATCTATAGATTCTCTGTAGGGTAAGTAGTATAAGAACTTTATAAGTTAGTTAACAATAACTATAATACTATTATAAAAGATTCCAATTAAAGGTTCTTTTAATAAGGGTAGCTTAGTTATAAAGTCTATTGTAATTAAATCCTAAGGTTATTATACTACTAGTAAGGGTTATAGTATACTGTAGGGCTTATAATATTATACCTTTATTTATATATATATATTATATTATTTAATAATTTATTCTATATCTTATTTTATATATTTATATCCTTTTTCTTATAATTATTTAAGAGTTTTAGTAATACCTTAGTATCTATATAGTAAATGTAAATAAAATTTGCAAAGGAAGTTACTATCTTTAGTAGTTCTAGTAATTCTTTTACTAAAGTTATATTATAGGTATTTTTCAAAGTATTATTTTATAGAGAATTTATAGTTCTTATAGCCTAGATCTTAGAAGAATTTAGTTATTTCTTACAGAGTTCTATATTAGCTAGGGCTATTCTTATAAACTAACTTAATTCTTACAATTCTATAGATTACTATTAGGAAGATTACTACTAAGTTGGGTTTACACTTATTACACTATCCTAGGATTGAATTAGCCTATAAATAGATTACTTTGTTTAAGAGGTAATTATTATATATCTAGATTAGTTACTTAAAGAGGGTATAGTTCTTTTTGTATTCTTATTTAAGTTTTTTTTAGTATTTTTTGTATATTTCCTAAGGGGTCTATTCTTTTCCTTTATATTAGTAGTTTAGTTCCTTTTTAGTTATTACTACTATTCTAATAGGGGTAGTAAACTAGTATTATCCTTTAGTATTTTTCTTTAGGAGCTTCTTCTAAGCTTTACTTATTACTTCTTCTTTAAAATTAGGCCTATAACTAATAGCATCTGCATATCTATTATCAGTTCCTTTATAGTATATAATTATAAAATTAAATTTGCATAGGTATTTAGTATAGCGTAGTTATTATTAGTTTAATTCTTAGGTTATAGTAAAGTATGTAATATTTTAGTAGTTAGTATAGACTTTAATTTAATAAAGACTTCCTATAAGGTAGTATTAGAATTCCTTAAAATAGTTAACAATAGCTAGGAATTCTTTATTATAGATAGGATAGTTAAGTTCTACTTTATATAACTTATAGAAGTAGAAGGCTATTAGATATAGCTTTCTATTATTATCTCTTTAACTAATCTATCCTTCTAAAGCGAAATCTAAGGAATCTATTTTAAGTTTAATTTCCTTATTAAGGTTAAATATAATTAACACTAGTTTACTAAGTATAGAGTTTTATAGGTTATTAAAGGTATCTTAGGCTTTATTATTCTACTTAAACTTCTAGTTCTTCTTTGTAAGTCCTATAAGGGGGTTTACTATCTTACTAAAGTTTCTAATAAATTATTAGTAGTAGTTAGCAAATCCTAAGAAGCTTTAAACTTCTTTAATAGTTATAGGTATAGGCTAATTATATACTACTAAGATTTTCTTTTAGTCTATTTAGATTTCTCTTAGTAATATAGTATATCCTAAGAAGTTAACTTCTTTAATATAGAAGTAACTCTTTTCTAGTTTTACTAGAAGGTTTATATCTTATAGTACTTTTAAGACCTTATAGATATATTTCTAGTATTCTTCTTTATTATCTAAGAAGATTAGGATATTATCTAGGTAGTAT